GCAATCAACTTACAGAATGTTTCCATCACTCCACAAAGTTTCCTCATGCCCTTTATAGTCCCTCCTCCCCTCCACATCCAGGAAACCACCAATCTACTATCATTATAGAGCAGTCTGCATTTTCCAGAATTTCATATAAATGGAAACATATATTTTATTACTACAGGTATTCTTGAGTAATCAAAAGCTAATATTAATCCTTTAACTTTACCTTTTTCTCAGAGAGTATTTTAATCCTGGAATTCTCTAAAATCCTCTACTTCACTGCTTCTCAACTTTAATATGCATATAAATCACTTACAGAAATCCTGCCAAAATGTAGGTTCTACTTTACTATGTGCTATTATTTTTGTGTATTTTCTCTCCCTTCAGTAAAATTATGCCAAGAAGATGGCTACTTTCAGGGTTGGTACTTCTGCTAAAATATGGAATTATATTTTATGGTGTCCTGGCTTCACTCACAGTTAAGAGTTTAGGATTTAATAGAAATCCTAACTAAAGGTTGAAATGATAAGACATTAGATCAAGTTGAACAATTTATACTTGTCACATACTACTTGCTTTCATGCTTGCTTGGTTTAGCATTCCACTGAGTATATGGCAAAATGTTCTAGCTAGAATTCAAGTTCAAAGAGGATAATGCAAGCCATACTGGATAGCTAATATAAACCACACTGTATCACACTCAAGCCTGACTAGAACTTAAAGCAGGGAAATTGAAGTCATTTCCTAGTTCTAAAAACTATCAGGGTCTCCTGCGCCTTCATGTCTAGCTCCCTACCCAACAGTCTTCATGCTCTGACTTTACCTTACCAGCCTTCTCTCTCATATCCCTCATTTTTGGGTCAATGGGCAACTGTTTCCTGAATCAATCTTATGGCATTCCATGTGTTAAAGACAAGACAGCAGACCCCAAATGGAGTCATTCATGCTGAGAGGTTCCATGACACCAAACCAAAACCTGTATTTTACTGTAAGATCTGACCCTTCAAGAAATCAGGAGAGAGATGACAGTCAAATCCCATGAAACCAACAAGATTTCATTTATATTCCTATAAAGAAAAATAGTCTTGACCAATCTGCTATTTGCTCATTGTTCCTGATTCATTTCACTTTTTCCTGTCTATAAAACTCACCTACTTGTTTAGCTCATAGGAGCTCCTTTCTATTTTGTAGACTGGATGTTGCTCAGTTCATAAACAGCTAATAAAAGCCAATCGGATCTTTGGCACTCATCTGTTGAAATTTTATTCTTTGATGCATTCTTTCTTTTTGCTCATGCTGGTGGCTCAGCCTGGACCACACTCCCTCCACCATGTTTCTAGCTGACACCTACTGGAGAGCTTTCAGGTGGAGCTCAGACAGCACTTTCTTCACAGAGCCTTCCCTCTTCTCCCAAACAGACGAGCTTACTCCCTTCTCCAAACTTTGCCACTTTGTTGGCATCTCTCTTGAAGTGCTTATATTGCGGCATGTTCCAGTTATAAATACCCTTGCTTTATACTGTGATTAGAATGTAAGTGCCTTCAAGTCTGAAAGCATACTCTTTTCACCTTTGTGGCCTTTACAGGCATAAAATAGAACCTTACCAGCAGCTCACAAATAATAATTGAATAAATAGGTATTTCAGTGTGACCAAAAGAGGTTCCAGAGAACTTGAGCTGATTCCATCATTTCTTCAATCCTCAGGTTCCCACCTCCAATAGGAGCTCCTGAGCGACCCTTTGCCACCCCTTAATTTGCAATGATTGTACCAAACTGTGAAAACCTTCCAAGTTTGAACTTAGATTCTTCTTCAATCTTCTCCTTTATTCTTATGTCCAATCAGACAAAACAGTTGCTTTGTCATCTGATATCTGATTTGACCCTTCCTTTTCCTCTTTCTCTACCACATTTTCCATCATTCTGCTTAATGCCTTTTTATTTTCATAATGCCTAATTACCTATAGTAAATTCTTCCAGGTTTACTGGATCTCCTGTTTTACTTTCTCCAATACATAAAGAGGATAACAATAACATTTTATAGAGTTAGTAAGTTGATAAATAAGATACGGTGTGCATATTGGACCTAGTTTGTACATGTACCTACTATCTCTTTGTAGAATCTTCTCCTGCTCATGTCCTCTGGTTTCAGGAGTTGATACATGACAAGCAGCATGTCCCTCTGGCCACAGTTATTGGCTCAGGATGGCTGAGAAATTGCAAGATACACTATGCTGATGACATAATTCGAGTCCCTTGACTTGATCTTGTCTATAGCTAGATGCACCCCTGCGCTTTCTGGTTATGAGAGCTGATTTTCTTTACTAAACTCACTTAAGTTGGTTTTCTGCTAAGTGCAACAAAGATCTTTAATAAATGAAGTATGTAAAGTACTAAGCACAGTACCTTGTACATAAGTGTTAGGTATTATTTTTATCATCCCTGTCCCCTTGCCATACCTCCTACCAAATTCAACCTTTTTCTTATCATCTGCCCATACATACCAGCTAGGATAATTTCCTTATTATTCCCTGCACATTTTCCCTTTGCCTGGACTGTCCGACAGGACATTTTACACTCTTTTCACCAATTCACATCCATCATGATTTAGAACTTGGCTTAAAGAAATCTCTCATTCTCCAAGAAGCCTTCTTTGAATAATGGTGGCTCCATACTCTTCACTGCCTTATCTATTTTTTCTTGTATGTGTTTTCTACTTATTTCTACTGTTCTGGATCGCACACTACTCAAGGCAAGAAAAAATATATTCTATCTATACTTGTGATCATTAGTCCCTTTCTAGATTGAGATTTTGTCATTATTTTCCTAAGAAACTTGTGCAGTATTAGACACACTCTAAGTGGTCAATGAATATGTTTTAGAAATACATAAATGGAATTAAATCTACAGGGTGTGGTATGTTATTCTATTTAAGACCTGTTGTTAACCTAGCTAAACTTTTCCCATTTTCTAAGCAAACTTTACATTCTTAAACCATTTTAATTAGTGTAAAAGTATCACAATGATTCCAACCTCAAATATTCCTTCCAACTGTGGTTTCAGAATCCTTTTAGTCAAGTTTCTAAGGAAAGAATATTCTATTAAAAATAATTTAACTATCAGTCAAGGCCTATTTTTTTTCTCATCATCCACATGTTATTAATCCAGTGGGTATTGTGTCTGACCCTTGAGAGGTTTCTTGGCCTGATAAACTAATGACAATAGTGAAGCATTAACAAAGATATCCTGAGATGCTGAAAAAAAGTGTGAGGGGGAAGTGTGAAAGAAAGAAGTGGGGAAAAGGTGATCTTTTTTTGTATTCATGTTTCTTTTAGTTTTAAATGGTAAAACCTTCTCCTATCCCAAATAAGTTGATTTCTACTTACAGCTGGACGATTTTTAAAAACAACTATTTGGAATTAAAGGCCCGCACCCCTGTTTGTTGAATTTAATTGCTGTATGGTTTATTGAAAAGGTCAAGGGCTAGTGAATTTAAACCGTTTAAAATAGCAAAAGATTAAAGTGAATTAAATGTAGTGCCTCTGGGATTTCTGATATATGTTCCAAATTTGTTTTTAATAATATAATTGTTCCATGTTACATTTAATATTCCATAACAGGGAACTGGTTACCTGTGCAGTTATGCTCATAGAAACCAATTCCAAATGTCAAAAATTAAAGTGAGGGCAACTGTAATGTTATGATTAAAAAAATAGAAGTTGAAAATGTTGAAAATGGAAGAGAAACACTTAGGTTGAATAAGGTCTTAACAGACCTTATTAAACTTTAAATAAAGCTTTAAACAGAAAAATCTGAAAAAAATAACACGCATTAGGTTGACTTAATGCCTTTTCAACAGCATTTAAATCATTTGACTTACAAATGGAAACCAATGCATTTTCTCAAAGTATTTATCCATTCATTTTAATGGAAAAAGATAGCTCCTGATCACACGAATGGGAATTGTGCTAAATAAATTTTGAGAACAACCATCAAGAAATAAAAGTTACTAGTCATATGTGTAAATGATTATTACATTTCATGTTTTAAAAGAACAAGAAATTCGATATTGTTTCTGTTAGTTTTCAGACTTTTTTTTTCTTAACTAAAAGTACTGTAATTGCCTCTGGGGCTTTCCCTTCCACAATTAATCATCTTTTTCTTCCACACCTTCTCTCCAAATGATTATTCCCCCAAGCTTCAGAACACTTGACATTAATTCATACTATTTCATCTTCACAGCTTTCAAAACATTGCCCTGCCCGTGCTTAGCTCCACAAGCCACCCCCCTTGCATTTAAAAAATTGGTTAACAGAAGCATTTTTGTACTATCTCTTTGCCAGAAGATGCTATTTACTTGGAAACAAATTAGTTTCCTTAATCAAACTTTTGAAACTCTCTATATTTAAATTCCTTAGTATAACAAACATCTATACTTCAAAAGTAGCAGTATGTTCACTTCAAACATTCAGAAAACTTGGATCCTAAGACTTTATCCTTCATCCTCCTGACTCTAGAATACATGTCCTTGATCATCAGAACCAAGCAAGAAATTGAGTCTCACCAGCTACACCACAAGTGCCGACAGAGGAAACACTTTCAAACTGTCATTGATCTCCACATTTATAGGTAGCTTATCCATACGTCCTTTATAAACATCATTATTTTTGGTGCTTAAGACTTCAGTCATACGAGGTAAGCTTTCCAGTTTATAGGCAAAAGGAGGTGGTAATGGAGGCCTTCTCTCCCTCCCTCCCTCTCTCTCTCTCTTTTTAAGATCAAAACAAAAGCCAGTTTGGTCTGATGCTGCCATTTGTCAAGCATCTTTTAGAAAGCCGCCTAGTGCACTGAATTAACCAAGTCAGGTTTAAAGTGTTTCCCATGCCCACAGTGACAGACCAGCTATCAGGCATACTTAAGCAGACTGTCAAACTTTTATGTTTACTCTTTTTAAACGGAAAGTCAGATTTTTTTTTTTTTTTTTTTTTTAAACGAATGTCTGGTGCGGAACAAGACGCTCACCTGTACACAACAAAGGCAGGTCTTTCTCGGCTGTCCTCACTGGGGGAGGGGACGGACAATCGCTAGACCTTTGTCCTCAGGTCCTGGGCATGGGGGTTGGGGGAGACGCGACTTTCTGGGAGTCGTGTAGGCACCTGCACCCAAGAAACTCCAGACCGGTTTTGACCTCAATGACTGCCCGGGCTTAACCTTTGGAGAGGCCCTTTAGTTCGGGGAGGGGGCTTGCTGCTCCAAACCGTAGCCACGTCACCCACAAGGACTGGGGAGGAAATGACTGACCGCTCAAGAGTCAGGG